AAAAAAAAAAAAAAAAAAAAAAAAAAAAAAGTACTTACATTGTTCTGGCAATGAAAAACTGTTGTTACCGAGAATAGCGCGATAAAATAAAACGTAATGATTTAATAAAATCTAATGACGTAAACTTAAAAACTATTTACATTTTCGTCAATGAATAGTAGCTCAATAACGGCAAAGCATTTTTACACTTCAAACACGGTTTCCTTTGCCAAAGAATATTATTCTCTCTCCAAAAGAGTCACTTCAAAATAGAATTTTTTTTCTCTCTCTTTAATCAATAAAACTGTACGAGGATCTCACGAATTCTAGCAGCGTCATGCTACAATAACGAGCTTACCTACAACCTCCAGGTAGCCCTGCCGACTTCTCATCGGATCAGTGTTCACTTGACACATGTACCATCCTCGATCAACTTCTTCGACCTTCTTTATATGAAGATACCATGTACGGTGGTCGTTGTACGACAACGAGATCCGTGGATTTTGCGTGATCACGTTATGGTGGATGGACAAGATTGTCTGTGTATCGACGCGCACCCATGCCACCTAAAACAAACAAACGTGGACACGTGTACGAAAGTTTGCTCAAGACGACGGCGTATCATCGATGGAAAATTTCATTGGCGATCATTTTATTTTGATCAATGGTGAAATACTGCCTTCACAGTCAAAATGTATTTGTAAAAAGAGATAATAATAATAATAGTTCCGATATTTCTGTTACATTACTGAGTGCAATTTTTATGATAGTGTAATTATTGAACAAAGTAATACGAATAAAGTAAAAGCAAAGTCACGAAGCAATATGCTAAAAGTTGATGAATGTAAATATTCACGTGCTGTTTTAATTTATTCGTTTATTATTTATTTCAATCAGTCGCGTCATTTTTAAAGATATCAGGCATAAGCAGAAAATGGTGATTTTTCCGACGGTGAAAATGTATCGATACAGAAATCTAATTAAGGACTTGACCAATATTTGTTCCAACAAATGAATTCATATGGTGCTGAAACGTTTAACATTTCACCGGTGAAATTTCGCGCGAAAAATGGAATCTCGTAATGGAAGTAAACTCGTTGAAAGTTATACATACTTTATAGGGAAAACCATTTATCATCGTCACTTGAATACCAGCTTCATTACTTAGGTTATTAAAAAAATTTCCAGCCGGAGATATTTAAACGTCATTCTCAGTCATTTTTCTTGGCTCCGAGTCTTTAAAGACAGCGATTTTAGTTTCATCCATTTGAAGTAAAATCAAATTAAGAGCCTTCAGTGAATGAGATTTCTATATTTCGATATTTTCAATATCGAAATTATATTGAATATGTATTACATATTTTGTGCAAAATTTATCTTCGGTAGTGTTAAACCAACTTGAAATGAAAATATTAAAAAAGGGCAGAGAAGAGAGGAATCAAATTTTACAAATTTTATACAAAGCATATCTTTTATAGAAAGTATATCTTTCCTAACGAATTTTATTAATTTTTCTCTATCCTGCGAACGCGAAAATTCTGTTGCGCCATTCGTTTCAACGGTGTCGCATGTCGTGTACATTTCGTAAGGAGCTTTGCTTCTAATAATCAAACACGGTTCGTGGAAATGCACAGGAAAGGCTTAGCATAATCGTAGAGTGTTCGCGGAATGGTAACATGGAGATTAGTATGAGGAACATCATAGGGATTACGTAACAACATAATGCCAACTAGGATAATTATTTCAAATCCAGCCGTAAATAACGTCAACGTTTGCTTAAATACTCCGTTATTCCGTCAAATAACGAATGTTAGAGAATTGAAACGGAATTCTAGTTTATGGAAATACCTCTTCGCGAGAAACTCGAACGATGAAACGATTTCGACCAGTATCGTTTCACGTTCCTTCACGCGTTTTATATATTTCTGCATCTTTAAATTTTCTAATAAAATACAATACAAATATCTATTCGATAATTACAAAAAAACTGAACAAGATTTTACATTATGAGCGAAATATCTTTGCATGCTGCTTAAACGTAATTTCTACGCCGTATCGAGGAGATCTTTCGCCTTGTAGACGCTTTGAAAGGAAATTTTATTTCAAAAGGGGGTAGAGGAGGCGAAGGGAAAAACCGAGGAAAAGATAAACGAAGTTTTCCACTATACCATGTTAGACGGCAATATGTCCGCATTTTCTTTAACACGATATTTTATAGATTACGATGTTACTCGGAAAACTGGAATTTAATAGAATTCCGTAATCGTTTTGTCCTCTTTTTTACCTTACATCCCTCGTACAATTGTTCAGTTAAAAAGAAACAAAAAGGAAAGAATTCTGAAAAAATGTTTTCTGTTTTATTCGAAATTTTGAAGATTGAAACTTCCAAAATTCTCCACGATCGTGTTTTTTCTATTGCTGTATTGGTTTCCAAAAGCTGGAAAATTGACTGACTGAATCTTACTAAACTATTACGGTTTCCATTGTCCAACCGATACCAGTTGAAAGTTGACGCGATAAGTCTTTAGATAATGAAATTATCGGCGAACGTTACGAGCTCGGGAATTCAAGCGAGATAAAGCGAATTCGGGAGCACGAATTCGCTCGTGGAATCGTTCGCGCGTACATTCTCGATCCATTCGATCCGTGATGTTTCCCTTTGTGAAGCTTTGGACACCCTATGCAATATCGTTTCCTTCTTATCGCTCGCTTAATCCAATATACTGGTTGGCTTGTATCCCGTATCCTTCGTGGATCTTCGAAACTTTCACAGAATACGACGAGTAGGGGAGGTAAGTATAAGAAGGCTTAGAATCCACCCCATTTTCTTTCCTTCATCGCTAAGCCCTCCATGCTGTGACCGAGATCTCTCGAGGGTAGAAAATACGCTAAAAGTTCAAGGATCTTCATATTACGGCGATGGATATTTGTCGGTGTGTAAAACAAAATTGCAAGCATTGATCTAATCGTTCTTAGATCATTATCGCATGCCAATTATTGCACGACCGTGGATTTTCACGTGAATTCATATTTTTGTGAAATTTACGTATGATTCATATTTTTTTGTGAAATTTAAAAGATTTACACTCGAGTATTTATATAATTTTGAATATATTATATTACGCGCGCATGCATTATTTCTGCATTATTGGGTACTGAAGTTTTACACGAACCCAGTCTATTAATTATGAATAGTTCTACATAATATGCATATGTGACATTTCTCTTTTTCACAAGTCAAAATGAACTTTAACGGAATAAGAATTGAATGAATTAAAAATCGATAGCAAATTAGAATCAAATAACAAATATATTCTCGTCCAGTTATATCAAGTTATCCTAAATTTCTAAATTTCGTTTATTCCAACGAAGTGGCAAATTTACTCCTGTAATTTAATTTCAATCCCCAAGAAATTTAATTTGCCAACTCTCCTACCTAAAATATCAAAATTAAAAGAGAGAAATCACATAGATTATAAATGCAAGTCAGATGCTGGCTTACAACTCATCAAAAATACATCACGTCATTCTATTAAAGTTTAATTTATCCCTCCAAAAAAAAAAAAAAAAAAAAAAGAGAGAGAGAGAAAGAAAAGGAAGAAAGGTAAATTTACCTCTAGATTTTTTATTTCTTTTAAAGATTAATTTACCTTGCCCTCCCTATAAGGAACAGAAATTACGGAAATAAAACTCGCAGTTGGAGAAACCCTGCGACCTTTCTGATACCTGTATCTACGTATCTTACGTTTACGTAAATTTTTCATTCACCTGATACCTGGCGCCGGGAATTACGATATTCCAGCGGCGTTAAGAAGCGGACGAGCGATAATTTTTCCAGAGGAGCGTGTTTCCTGTTTCCAGTGGCCCCGTCTGGGGAATATCAGCTGTCGTTGGGGAGAACAGGCTGCAGAGGATGGCGGCGCTGCCGAGGCGCGACGCTTCTTCACGGTTACAAAGTACACCGGGATATCTGCTGAACCGTGGGAGGATCGTGTGAACCGGGCGTCGTTACCATATTACTTTAATAATTCAACGTGACACCATCGGTGATGTATTTCCATTGGCGTAACGAACGAGCCAGCCGGCTGAAGTTGACGTTGTTGCGAGTCACGGCTAGAATTACCAGGCTCAGCTCCGCTTCTGCTCGGCCTCGCGTGCGAAATTCTCAAGCGGAGCGTAAAAAAAATATAAAAAAAAAAAAAA